GAATGAAACGATACAAAATAAGATGGCTTTAAAAGAGGATGAAAAGTTAATGATCATGGTTTAATCATCACTCAGTAACTTGTATTTTCTGATTTATGAATGAGGCACTGATTCTAATGATGTGAATATAGGTTTTCCATTTATTGTCAGTAGGAGCAGGAAAAGGCCCAAAATATTTATTACACACTGCTTAGAAATATATTAACTACTAACAACACAAACATTAAAGCCAGACCTTTTAAAATCTTCTTTAAAATATCAGGTCAAAATGTATTGCTTGGATATCTTTAATATCTTTAATACAGGACAGTTTATAAAAGTTGTGTCTATAATGTAACAAGTGAAGCAATTCTTCAGTTAAAAAAGATACCTTATACCTATATATACACACACATATTTGTATTTAATTATTTCAGTAAATAGACTGCTTCCAGGACCATTTCTGTCAATATTAGATAATTTTTAAATAGTTTGCCAGCACAGAAGAGTAGAAACTGCAAAATTTCTACGTAAAACAAGGATTTCTCTCTAGTGGGCAGCAAATAAGTTGCAAATATATTAAAAATAACGGGAAAGAGGAAAGGATTAAGTAGAAAAGAACATTATATTACTACCCAAACCTAACAGTACACAAGGAATCTTTTTAATCTTCAAGTCAATAAAGGTTAACACAATAAAATAAACTTCTGAGTACCTTTCTTTTCTAGAACTTAATCTCTTCTGCTGAAGATATTTTAGAGATTTTATCCGTTCTGTGCAGACCCAGCTGCTAGGAAAATTTACTTAAACTTACCAAAAAGAGAAAATAATTTTATGGAAATACTTTGGTATGGCTTCTGGGTGGTTTTTCATTGTACCCAGACCAAAAGCAATTTAAAGGTGGCTGCTAGCTGATGATTTCTAGACCTGATAAGCAAGGAATCTGCCATGTATCTGAACTAAAGGACAGAAGATATTTATAATGTCATTTATACAAGGATGAGAACAGACTGGTTAAGACACTTAGGACTAGCTGTTCCATTCCCAAACATTCACCTCTGAAGATCTATTGCCATTAATCAGGGTACAATCTCTGCTTGGACAATATATCCTTTGCAATCCTACCATTATGAAATCTCCAAAGGCTTTTTTTTAAACTGGGGTAGAGCTGAGCAACTGGAACCGAGCAGTGGACTGACATAAGCACTTATTCTAATAGTCCACAGGCTAAAACCCATCATTTTTAATTTTGTCATGGCTCATTACAGTAATTCAAATCTCCATGGACATGCCATGAAGCCATGTCCTCTGCAAAAAGGAAAGCATCCAAAAGGTTTACTAACATTACTGTTTCTTACACTGGTATTGAGGAAAGCTAGTTCTGCATTTGACCTAAATGTTTAGTCTACTAGAACTTTAGAGTAGCGAGTAGAGATTCGATATAAAAATATATTAAAAGATCAAAAAAACATTTCTTCAAATATGATCAGGACTTTTGAATGCATACACCACTACTTTATCTATGGTCTCATGTGGCCAAAAGCTGTATTAACCTGATGATCAAACTCACCCTCAGGACATGAATTTCAACATCACTCACACTACTGGAATGTTGCTTTGGCTCATATTTTACAGGCAGTACGGGCATAAGTAGGTTAAGCCATATGGCATTATGGACTAGAGCCCTTATGCCATCTTTGTATGATGGAGACTGATCCAAAGATTACTTCTGAATACTTAAGAAACCCCCTCAGATTCTTTAAAAAAAAGGTCAAAAAAAATCAGACCCACTATTCTAAAAATACAAGTGTCTGACTGCCGGGCAGTACTTACAAGGTCAGGTTCCTACTAATGTATTCACTTATTGAAGATATTTTCAAGAAGACCTGAACTTCAAAGCAGTTCAGTATATACTCAACATGTCTAGTGACTGTGAATAAGAAGTTTCGAGATAACTGATTACTGTTTTCATAGTTCTGAAATTATTTCAGAAAGAAGGATCTCTCAAAAATCTGAAGGCCTGAGGTGAAAACTTGGGTGGGGACAGAAAGTAACAAATTCTTGTTTCACAAATATTCTTCTAGGTCTCATCTTGACTTGGACAGTCTTTACATTTTTGGTTTCTTTTACTAATGAAAATGCCTGGAGGAAAAAAAGCAGCTTTTATAAAGAATAAGGGTCATTTTGAAATTTCTGTCATAAAAAATACTTGGAACAATAAAAATCTTCGCTGGGCCAAATGCTAGTTTCAAACCAATATGCAAAAATATAAAACCAAAAAACCTTCAGGCTCCTTATCCGTACGAGATGAATTAGCTTTAAAATGTACATCACTTTTTGATATTATATTTAGTCTGTCTGCAAACTTGTCAAATCCAAATGTTGATGTCATCCCAGAGTCACTTTCAGGAAGAATATTTCCCTAAAATAATACAGTATGGTATTAAGTCCAAACCCATTTATTTTACATAGGCAGTGATGGAAAACTATGTGCAAAGGTAACCAACCAGGTTTAAATGGGTTTAGTTTCATTTGGTGCATGACTGGCTTGCACATATAATTTCCATTAATTATATTGTAAATCCCCTGGCACAGCAAGTTGAGCAGATTCACCCTGAAGACAGTCATCAAAAGAGATAACTGCTGTACCATGAAACATAAAATGGTCAGAGGCTTTGTAGTACTTATTACTTGTGAAATACACAGGGCAAAAAAGGAGAAGCTGCTCTAGAACCCATTCAAACGCACTTTGAAAAAGTTAAAGGGAAAACCCACAAGACTGGGCAAATTACCTGAGTTATACCCATATACTTAAAGAAGGTGTATGTTATTACAGTATGCATTGACTAAACAATCAGTAAAGGTTCAGCTGGCCCACAAGGTGCCATTCACCACCTCTTCCTCTCCACTACTGACCTTACTCAATTCCTTTTCTATACTCAGATACAGAATTCAGTCTCAACTGCCAGCGGCTGCTGCGGATATAACTTTGTGATGTCCTTAAATGTGAATTCCTTAGGTCGCATATTTTTTGCTTTTTAGCTGCACTTGATATACCAAAGCCACAAAGCAGCCATAACTATGACTTGTATGGCCCAGCGAGAACTCTACTGCTCTCCAGTATAGGGGGTATATCCTGGCAAAGCGGGACGCAACAGCCTCTGTGCAGCGGATATTCCACTGCAGTCCTTGCAGGTGTTCTGCCTACAGGGTAACATTGATCAGACTTGCATTTTCTTATTGGGTATTGACAACACTTTTGAGCCCAGGGAGTGAAAGCCACACACGCTTAACCACTTTCTAGTTCTTACATCTCTCCAACATTTTGCCAAGATTTCTGGACCAGTGGAGGCTCCGACACCTTTGCTTTCCCACTGTCTTCTGCTCTCCCATTTTATGCTGCCACGAGAAAAACCAGCACTATCATTCCCTTATGTTGATATCACTTCATTTTTTTTTCTGTGTTCAGACCTCTGGGTTCTTCCCTGGAAACTTCTCCAATACTCATAATTACAAATTCTTAACCTCAGCTATTTTTCTTCACAACATTGCTCTTCCATATTTATTTGTTACTGTATCCCTCTCTGATACCTCCATCAAATTCGCTCTCCTGTTCTGAACAGAACACCAGTTCTTCGGAATGTAAGGTCGCTTCGTGCAAGCACCTATGCACAGACCCCTGACTTCTTTCTGAACAGAGCATCCTCTCTGAAGCCACAAGCACTGCTCCACTCTCTGCCTCTGTCCCCGCTCCTCATGTTCCCCGTGAGGTTCTGTAGCACAGAACCAGCCAAAATACACCGCCCAGCATGGCTCCTGAGAGATACTAAATTTGCTTAGAAGTTAAAAGGAAATTTTTACATTCTACCTTCAGCCTGTGTGTTAGTTAGCCTAGATAAAAAATGTTCCTCACATTGTTACTCTCTATGTCCTTTGTATGTCTTTAAATAGTTTTCCAATTCTTCTTTTTGAGCTTCAACTGAAATAGTATTTAAAGCTGTTCACTGATAGGCCTCTGTCTTGATAAGGTGCACTCATATCACCAAGCATAACAGGACAGCTAATTGAACCCTGTAGGTAATATAACACCAGTAGCACCAAGACCAAATTCAGCTATAAAAGCACGTTGTGACTTCAGATAATCTTATTTGACTGCAAAAAGTAAAATAAAATAAAACAAAATGAAAGAAAATAGTAAAATAAAATAAAATTACAAATTCAAAAATTTTAACACAGTTGACAGAAAACAAAAATGGAACATGCTGTTATGGAAAAAATTATAAATGTGTAACCAAAGAGAGTCACTATATCATCAGAACAATGTAACCAAACATTTTCTAATGAAGCACAGATGTAAAGAAGAATGAACTGGCACAGCCAATCTATCTGAACTTTCACCCCTGTATTCCTCTATTTCTCTGTTAAAATAAACATGATATTTAAAAATTAAAAGAACCTTTATATTTCCACCACTAAAACATGTTTCTGTCTAACTGTCTGGATGTATTTACAAGGTGATAATATTGTTGTTATTATTAAAATATTAAATACATACATGTCAGGAAAAAGAGCTAATACATGCATACATGATATTTGTTTATAATTCACTAAACACTAGATATGTTTTACATGAAATCTGGAAGTACATTTATTAGAAACCTACGAGCCCTCTGCATTGTGGGAGCCCATGCACGGCGTGAAAACATTGCTGGGGAAACTGAAAGGTTTGGTTAGGAAAGCCAGCTTTTATACAGCGGAGCAAAATCACTGTGAAACTTGCTTCCACCCATCATGGAAATTGTATATTTTAAAGCATTACTTACTATTGTCACTCAGATCTTCCCAGACACTATCTGGTCATGTTCAGTATTACTGTCCTGCAGACACTTACTTCAACATGCAGGGTAAATGCAGCTAATAAGCATAATTAGCTCAGACAGTGTATTTCATTTAGTTTTGCACTAAAGACTAATTGCCTACTCAGCGGAGGGGAAGTGTAACATTTTTTTTAAGATGCTTACCCGAGGGCCCTGATCACCTTGATCTCCCTGCAAAGTGGAAAGATGAGATGATAGGTTTAACACAGCATCTGTGTGCTACCCAGCTCTCTTACACAATCTAACATTACACTGCGTCAATACAAACGGTCTCTTTAGTTCATGCTGGGAGGCCTTTCCATTCACCTTGTACGTGTCACCTGTACGTCAACTCACCTTCTCGCCTTTTGGACCGGGAGGGCCCTGAAAGAGAGAGAAGCAAAGATGAATTACTGAGACTGACAAAGCCTTGGGACATGGCAAGAAACAGGTCTGCACCACCCCACCATTTCTTCCCAACAATGTATTTCCTTATCATTTTTCACTCTAAATGCCAGGGCTACTCCAGAGATGGCTGCTTCACTGTATTAATAATTGCCGCTGCATGGTTATTTCTTGAATAGTTTGCTCACCCTGTGTGTCGAATCAGACCACTTAGACAAGCAAAGCTGTGCCTGAAATGGCAAAATTTCTACTGACTTGAGTTAGGGACAATAGTTTATCTCCTATCAGATACCAAATGTTTTCTAAGACCGTAAAAGTTCTTTGCAAGTGCCGCTAATAAATTCAGAGGCCTATAAATCTGCCATGTATTTTGGCACCCTCCTTCGATTAGATTGCCAAAGAAAAAAGGATTAGGGAATCTAAAAGTAGTGTTTTCATTCCTGTCTTTGGCAATGCTGAAGTTGACGTTTAGTCTCAAGTACACTGTTTTAGGCAAAATGAGCCCTTTTTATAACATGCTTTTGCAGAAGCAATACTTATTGTTACTTACCAGCAGACAAAGAGTAAGGTGACAGAATCACAAAACAGTGAGGTCCTTTCCTATTCCATTTTTATTGAGCACCTTCCAGAAAGCTACCAGCAGGTTTCTAAAACACTAGTTTTCAGGTTAGTGTCTTGTGAACAAAAATGCTCGCAGTCTGCAGAGAACTGGCTGCTTACACAGTGCAGGCTCTACCTCCAGCTTTCTGAAAGATGTGCAGGTGTTTCATTACAAAGAAAGACCTGAGGTACACATGAAAGCAGCTGGAAACAGAAAAGGAGCCATCCAAGCAAGCTGGGTCCATTCTTATAGCAGAGAGAGACACGTACATGTGTGTGCGCATGCATGTAGCACAAGAAAAGGTTGCCACCAGCAATGTAATTAGAAATAACCAAGGGCAACCTAGTTGGGCTGAGCATGTTTGGACCGCTTCACACTTTACACTAGTGAAAATTCATGTGGTTCACATAAATGGAAATGGAAGAAAGGTCAGTCTGCTGTGTATTAAAGACATGATTAACCACATGCAATTCTTAGAGAATCACTATTGTAGCCAATTTTCTGCTTATTTTTAAGGGCTTCTGATGCATGCCAGAGAAGAGCATCTGCTGCTCAGTCTTTCAAGGAGTTAAAGCATATGCCTCTCCTTCCACAGCCTGCCATCTCTTCTGTCTGCCGCAGAGGACATGGAAACAAGTCTGCTACCCGACCTCCCCATGTCTCCTTTAGAAAGGACAGTGCTCGCTCCAAGCTGAGTGGAAACCATCTGCTCAATTAACTGTGACCCCTCTTCCACTTTGTGTTGCCCTGCAAGAACTTGTCCTCTTTAAAAACACATTAAACAAAATGACTTAATGAACAGATAAAACCTCGCTGCACTTTTAAGGTTTCTTCATCTACTTTTTTTATACTTTATCCCTTACTGCTCCTTTCCAATGTGCATGTTCGTATATATATACACACTGAAAACTACACGCAGCATTTTCTACTGTTAGCTACAGACTGCACATCTGCTTACTTGGACGCGGCATTACAGTACAGCACATTTTCAGCAGGCCCATTTTAAAACACACATACATGCCATCGAGCTTGCGAATTCTCATGCCATCAGTAACAGGGTAACTGCGGAATAGGAAGACCTAAAAATCACTCAGTGCTGGCTGTTACTGCCTTTTTTACAGCAAACACTGAGCACAAGAGAAGGGCTGTGCTCATGTGTTCTATCTCCTTGAATTATCAAGCCAGTACTGGCTCTGAATATCGTACTGGCTGCAAACTGCAAATAACATGACCTCTATCTGCTACAGTCAGAATCCTATTTCTTGGGTCTTAGGCGTGAAATTGCAGATAACATGACATGACCAAGACGGCAGACAGATGTTGGCCTTTGGATCATGCCGCAATTGTGGGAGTTGTTACTGCCTTCATTCAGATGCTCAACGCCATTCTTATGCCCAGGGGTAGCCCTGCTTCTGATGGGTTTTGGCTCACAACCTTTCTGAGGCGCGCCTGCCACAGCTCTGCCAGTTGGTACAAACGAAGACAGAGACCGCAACAGTTCCCTGAACTCAGCCGGCTCACTGGAACAGAAACAAGTCAGAGCGTGCTCACACGAGAGGTTCAACGAGCAGATCTGCAGGGCTCCTAGGCTGTCTCGCTGCAGCAACATGCCCAGCTGTCTCCACCTGCAGAAGCAGCCCCTGCCCTCTTCCCTTCATATTTTCCTCTGTTAAGGGTTCTCCGAAAGCACAATCCATACCCAAACATGTTTTTTAATACGACGGAATCACATATCGCAATTAAATTTTGTTCTCCTTTTTCTGTGCAGGGTTTTCTGAAAATTACCTGTCCACATCATATTCAGAAATCCAGGGCTCTTCTTCATTGCTCTCTATTGGGCAAAGCCAGCAATTACGAGTGCTTGCTGTTTGCTCTCCCTGTGTGCCACGCACCATTGTTTCTCTTAACTCATCCTTCCAGCACACAAATTTTTCATACAAAGTCTTTATCAATATCTGACAATTTCACCGTACCAAAAGTTTTTACAGGTTTTCAAAAGGCCACACGAGCATTTCGGGTGTGATCATTCTCACAAGTTCTCTTCACTTGTATTTGCAATGCTTTTGCTTTCCACCAAGAATCTTGAAAGACAAACAAACAATTGCAAAAAAATATAGCTGGCTTGGATGCTAGTGAAGAGAACCAGTGGGGCTTCATCAAAAGAAAATTAATGCAATTTCTTTCATGGCTTCTTCACCCATCTCTGGCTCTCCCCTCATTGTTTCAGTTGTTCTCTATTGTTTTTGCAATTTTAAAGAGAAAATTCCTATCCTCAGCCTTTGACATCTTCTTTCCATTTGTGCTGAGACATTCTCCCAAGGTTTTTACTGCAGAATTTATTAGTGCGGGTACACTGAGTGGAACCAGGGAGGAAGAAAAATCTGAGGGAAAGTTGGGTTTGCGGGGGTGGGGTGTGACTAGGAGACAGATTTGTTTAAAGGAGGGCAAGGTTTCTTCTGTTTAAGGGTACACAGAGAACAGAGTGAGTAAAATATCACTAGCTTTGTAGGCCACAGCATAGACATCCTGCTTTTTTTCCCAGGGAGACTTCTGTGCTTTCATTTATGAGATGGCAGAGATCAAGCCGCTAGCTGTTGCACAAATGTGAAAGCATTTTGTGTAAGTTATATGAAACGTCTGAGGTCAGAGCATTTCTGAAATAACTTTACAGTGTTTTCACTGGAAACAGAGGCTCTTTTCTCAAAGTGTAATTATCTACTCCAAACTACTATACATTTCCAAGGAGAGTTTATAGCCTGTTTCACATAAGCAAGGCCTTGTAAATCACAAACACATGCAAAATCTGCATTCATAATTAGGCAACAAATACTACTGTTTTTAAAACAAGGTCTTCTAAAGCAGACTGAGAGGCCTCCAGGCACCTGCCAGCCAAGAACAAAGCTGAAATCAGGGTCAAATCCATTCAACAGCCATGTTCAGGATTACTGGCAGATGACCTTTTTTTTTTTTTTTGGCTATCAAAATCCCATTTCCATTCCCTGATGAAACCTTTACATTATTATAAATATGTGTACAAGAAACAGAAGGGCAAGAGAACGCAGTACTAGAAAACATGAAAGCAGTCCTTGTGGTCTTCATTCAGACAACATTCTCCTTGGGGTCAACTGAGTATGATCAGCATGATTTTACATGCAGCTGGCATTTTATAATTCATTCCCTGAAAGATGCTTATTTTGTATTCCACCTTGGTGGCCATTGCCACCTTTATAGCTTTGCAAGAGTAACATTGAGAGGACCTCTTAAAAAGCCAGTATTTGATTTATATTGGTTTTGCAAACATTGAAAACTATCTGAATTCTCTTATACATATATTCTCTCCATATTCCTATTGCTATAGAGCTGCCTTTAACTGTAACACAGGCAGTTCTACCATGACTTCACCAAAAAGGCTCCAAGCATTGAGGGGAAAGCAGAACTGAAAAAAGTAAGAGATGCTCAGGAAGGGGTTCAAAGAAACAGCAATGTTTCTAGGTTCTGTAGAAAGCCCCAAAGTCAGGGCAGAGGAGTTCAGATTTTTAGTGACTGTTTAGATGACCCATATGATGCCACTGCAAAAAGGACCTGCAAGTGCCCAGTACAAGCTGGCAACAACCAACCAAGCAGAATCAGTTGGACAGTCCCAGGTCCCAGTGGGATCATCCACCTTCAAGGCTCCTAAGGAACCTGAGACATCAAACTCAGCAGCTCCCCTCAGAAGAGAATCCACAGAAGACACAGGTTATAATAACCTTTTAGATACAGTCACTGCTCGCCTACATTTCAAACACAACAGCCACAGGCTAAGGCAACCTGGCAGCTAGAGAATGTAGAGAATGTAGCTTGCAATATTCAGCCTTCATTTCCATTTGGGATAAAACAGCACACAATGCCTCCATCCCCAGTAGCAGCTACAGCATCCACAATAAGAGCTTAACTGGCAGCCTAAGGGAATAGCGGCCTTGTGGAGACGAGCAGAAAAGCGAACCAGACAGTCCGATGTTATCTAGACAAATTCAAAAAGGAAACCAATTTGCCAACTTAGTTTAATCATGTTTTCACAACTAAATGACATGCCATACATTGCCGAAGTTAATTCAATTCCTGCAGTTTATTTTGAGGGCAAAAGGTGGTTTCAGCACATAACGACAAAGTATTCTGTTACAAAAGTCTAACTTTTTCTGTCTTTGATTTTTGGCTCATGACTTTCCCAAATTACAAGTTCCTGACTGGAACAGCAATCCCCAGCCTAACCTATAGTTGCTGGAAAATATTAGGATCAGGTATGTTGAATCATAAGAGGTTACACAGAGTATTATGAAACACAATACTATTCCAGATTTCCTACACTCATTTTAGCCTTGCGTCCACTGGGCAAGCC